TTCCCTCCCATCCGTTCTACCCCATCAACTCCAGGAGGAGGAGTGCTGTGGTGATCCGTCCCACATGGGGCCATGTTCCAGTGAGGTTTCCTTCTCTCCAGTTTCTCTTGACCTCTCAGGATTTGCTCCCACTGGGGAGAATCCGAGCCTGTCCCTCCTTTTCCATTCTTTGACCAATGGTTAGAGAGTAAGGCTCTTCTCCCTGGAGGTACTTCTACGTTGTCATATGTCTGCTTTTGCTAGCTGTCAAGACTCTGAGGTCAAGTCAAAGACTAGTTCCTACCTTAGAAAGTGTTGGCTTACACAAACTGCTATCAATTTTGGAACAAACTTGCTCTGGTTGGGTGTTTCTTCTGCCTTTATCCTAGGCAAAAAGACTTATTTGGATGCTCTTGCATAGCCCATTGGAACATTTATTGCAGCCTGGAACCAAATTCCTAACTGGTAATAAAGTGTCCCTTTTTCCTGCTTTGTGCTTAATGCATACATTTCACTAGGAGCCCTTTAACGGAGAAAGACTGATCTAGAATATATTTGGTGTTGGAGACCAATTCCATAAGCATGTATCTTGATATCTATAAATTGTTACCACCACGTGCATTTTAAGATGATTTACCTAAGCCAGAATCCATTGTGGCTTGGAATAACTACCTTCTCAGGCAGTCAAAATTTGTATATGTAAAAATAAAGAAAAGTATTCTGTGGTATATTACTCTACATTTTCTCCTTGAACAATTCTCTCCACCATAATGTTCATGATCTGTTCTCTTTCTTTCATAAAGAACCCAATTTTCTAGCTATGTTGAACCCCTTTCAGTTCCTTCAGCATTCCTTTTTATGCTCCAACTCACCTGCCTATTTTGTATATGTTGTTTCTTCTGTCTAAACTAGCCTGCACCAGCTTCTTAAACTTGACTAACTCTACTAGTTCTTCAATCCTCCGCTCTGGCTTATAAGGTCTGGGGCGATAACTTTTTCAGGCCCCACCCCCCAAACTCTGCCAATAACTCCCCACGCTGTGTGCATATACATATGCATATTACAAACACATATGCATATACAAACATAAACCTTCCTTTGCACCTTAATTGACTCTTGTGTGTATATCATCCCCAAACTTAATACGTCCTACTGTGTTGTCTCATTCTCCACTCTCTACTGTAAGATGAATACCTTTGAAGTATACTGCATCTTCCATCATTACATCCCGGTGTTTTTCAAAGTGCTTAGTATATAAAAGCATTTCATTTAATGTTTGCTTAACGAATGATGTTGACATAGAGAAATCCATGTAAGCTGGAGTGGGACAATTAGGTTGCTTAGGAAAGCTGGGTGTTAAGCTGGATTTTGAAAGATGAGAAGTATATGGGTCAGCATTTCAGGAAGAGGAGCACGGATGAAGGCAGAGGTAGGATGGAAAGACAGACAGAAAGACAGACAGGAGAATGGCATCAATGGAAAGAGTGGTAGGAGACTGAACAGACCCAGTCCATTTTAAAAAGCCTGACAGCTGGGCTGAAGAATATAGGCTTGAATCAATAGGCAATAGGAGTTCATAATTTGTAGATTTGAATTATCCTGCAGTGAAATAAATGGGTTGTAGGAAAACCTAGAATTATGAGTGACAATACTAGAACTATAAAGAAGGGGGAAAAATGAGAGTTATAAGGAAAAAAATAAGTGTAATTCATTAGTCTTCTTATGTGGAAAATAATATTAAGTATATTAATACTCAAAGTGTAAAGACTTCATGATACATTTGCAATGGACTCATTTTCCCTGAAGCTGACTATTTAAAATTTTTGCTTCCTGAAACCTCTACAAATTTTTCTCTCACTGCCCAGACATTCAGGTAATGACTTGCTTGTATATGTGACTATATCTCCATATTGTATTTAAGAAGAAGAATTTCTGCCAGATCTGTATCTTTGATGAGATTGTAAAAAATAAGAGGGCAACTCGTGTCTTCTTTAATATGGTATTCAGTGAATTGAAAAGTACTCCCTGCAAGCATAAAGTATATCTGACTAAATATTTAAAACAGGTAAAAATAACGTTTTTAAAAGCAATTGATTATTATCTGTAAGTTTGATTATAAACCGAATTTATTTTTAGGGTTTTCATAGATATTTGTACTTTTATAGAGCAAACCCCATTTGAGAATTAAATAATTACTTCCTAATTTGAAGATATATATTTGAACGTTATAAAACATCTAAATATTTTTGAAAAAATATATATGCGCATACATACATACACTTAAGAAGATGCATACATGTTGCTTTTATGAAACATTATGGCTAAATGAAAATTAATTCATGTACAAGGAAATACCTAGTCTTTCAGCATTGTCTTCTCAGCCATCCATTCCCTTGAGAAAGCAAATTGCGTTCAGACACAAAAGAAAAATGTACTATTAAAATGCAATTCAGAAGTGATAAAAACTGGAAATGCAGCAGCCGCTCACAGCACCTCCTTTGTATACTCAGGGACATTGGGGCCACATTAATTTTTGTGTGTGTGATGTCCATCCCATGTGCAAATTAGCACAGGAAGGACCATAATCTGTCTTCTGTGAGAGCTCTTCTCCCAGGAGCATATGTCATACATGCTTGTGTAATTTTGTGTAATTCAAAGCTCTGTGTTCTGTTTATTTGTTTTTATTTTAGATAGTATTAGAGAATGTTTTCTTAGGAAATATATTAAAAAGGAGTTTATTAATAGACATTAAAAAGAAATTGTAGAGAGTTTTGAAAATTGATGAAATACTGCTTATCTTCAGCTTATTATTTTTTAAACAAATTTGTGAATGTAATGGCAAGAAACACAAATTTTCAATTGAATTGAGATTAAAAAAAAAAACCCTTCTCATCTTAATTAAATGAGATAATGGGGGCTGGGCTGGTGGCGCAGCAGTTAAGTTCTGACGTTCTGCTTTGGTGGCCCAGGGTTCATGGGTTCAGATTCTGGGTGTGGACATGACACCGGTTGTCAAGCCATGCTGTGGCAGGCATCCCACATATAAAGTAGAGGAAGATGGGCACGGATGTTAGCTCAGGGCTAGTCTTCCTCAGCAAAAAGAGGAGGATTGGTGGCAGATGTTAGCTCGGGGCTAATCTTCCTCAAAAAAAAAAAAAGAAAAGAGATAATGTATGCAAAAATATTGGCATATGGTAAAGGCTCAATAAATTTGTTGAACCTCAACTTTATTTTTTCAAAGTCTGAATTTCAGAATATTTAATTTTGCTACAAATATTTTTTATTTTGCAGAGCTTGGTCTTTTTCTTGAAAGGTTCCCTTTATTTAAAACAGCATCTACCTCTAATTTCATTGATACTGTATTTCCATTGATTATATTAACTAAAAATTTCTGAAGTTTCCTCCTATTTTCTGCATTAGATCTGTTTCCTATATCTTTCATGTTTGGATTTGTGTCTTTCTTTAACGTTGGCAGTTTCCCCAACTGGTAATCCATTCTTAAATTCATATTGAAAAAGAGACTCTAAAAATGATATTAGTAACTGTATTTGTGTGAGAGAGTGGTTTTTTGACTGATAGACTTTGTTGCATGACAATGTGACATTTTAATTAAGAAATCCCCAAGTGTTGATATTTGAAGTCGTTTCTTTTGAGAAGATGCATTAGTCTTCTGAAGTATGTAAATCCAACAGCCAGCTCACTTAGAGATGAGCAAGGGAAGAGTTCGATGGGTAGATTTTGAATTAAAATCTATATATTCCATTTGGTGCCTCATTCTGGCCTTCTGCTGTGCCTGCTTTCCCTGAGCCCAGCGCTCTCTGGTGTAGTTTTCTGAGAATAGCCTCTTCTTATGGATGCATGGACTGGGCAAGGAACCTGGGGATCTGATTCCTCCTTGCGTAGACTTTTAATCTGTGTCCATCCCTCACTTTCACCCTCTACTGAAGCTTCTGTTCCTGAGCTTTTCCAGGGTTCTGCGGGACAGATTGCCTTAATTCTCTTTGGCCTCTCCCTCTTCTGGCACTTAGACTTCAGTTTTTGAATTTTCTATCTGCTTTCATCTGCCAAAAATTTGTTGGTATTTTCATCTGCTGTTTCTCCTCTTTTGTCCTCTTTCTTCTTGTGGGTTTATAACTTTTTTTATTCCTTTACTTTTATTTCAGAGGGTTTGGTGAGGGGTTTTAACAGTTCACCAGGTTACGCTACAAGCATATCACAATCTTAGCTGTTCTGGGAGAGTTTATATGGGTTTTCAAAGTTTGGTCTTTTATCTTGACCATAATAACACTTAAAAGTAACAATGATGATGATAATGATGATGAGAGCTACAGCAACAAGCTACTTCTATTTTAACTTCTACTTTCAGCACCCCCATTATTTACTGGACACTTGCTCTTTTCAGCCTCCATGTTAAGCTTTGCATATATTAAATTATTCATTCCTTAGAACAACCTTATACGAAGTAAAATCTTCCGGAGGTCAAGCAACTTGCATGAGAGAACACAGCTAGCAAGGACAAAAGTAAGAGTGAATACAGGTCTGGTTGACTCAAAACTTCCACTATTTACAACCTCTACCAAAAACGCCTCCATTATTTGGATGAGTTAAGATTTGAAGAAAACCCATTTCACTGAGAATTACGTATATTGGCCATCCTTTTCATTTGGGGATATCATTTTAAAATTAAGAACAGTTTTACTTACGTGATGAATTTTGAATTATTTGGCACCATTATTTAATAAATTTATTATTTAGCATTGTCTATATTTACGAAATATTTGAGACTCACAGAAATTCTGTGAAGAATGTTTGAGGATCTCTGTTTACAGAATAGGAAATGAAAAGCCATAGAAGTTAGCAACAGAGATCTTCGGTGGCAGAGGCTGAAGTGGAATCCAGGCATTCTGATTCCAAGCCGTGTGTCATTTTCACTATACTTTTCTACTTCCCTAAATTCTGATTTTTAAAAATCAAATGTCTCTGGAAATCAAATTAAGAATATCATCTAAATATTCTTTCAGGTTTTTGCCATTTTCTTCCTACCATAAAAATGAAAAATACGTCCCATCAATGCATTCTTCAAGCAAGTATGGTCCCAATTCTTATGGATGTCAGCGTTTCAGAGATGAAAATCCCAAGAAATGGATCTGTCCCAAGGTGAGTTGATGCAACATTTTAAAAAATCTTAATTCTTTTTAAAAGGCCAAAAATATGTGATTACAGCAAATATAAATATTCTCATTGCAATTAATACCTTTATGGTTACAAAACTATTTATAGCCATTTTATGCAAAGATGGTGCTGCTGACTTTTGTCAGTAAGAGATTTGTTTTAAGGGTTTTTTTTAGTGTTGTATTCTTATGTTTTATAGTTCAGCCACCCTGTGATCAATGACATGGATCATTAGCTTTGGCAGAGTCAACCAGGGTCAAGGCTTGAATGTGTGGCCACAGAATGGAGTTAAGCCAATACTCAGGTGTCAAGATCAGCGCTTGCTTGCTTTCTCTCAATCTCTGTGTCTACATAGATAGATAGATAGTAGATAGTTTTGTAGATCGATAGAAAGAGATAGAGATATATGTGATATCATATATATATATATATATGATATAGAAAAGAAGAAAACGAATATTTCTTATCTGATTCCAAAATAATATTTGTTAGCACTCATAAAAATTTCCGAATTGGGGAAACACCAAGATGTCTTATACTATAGGAGGTGAAAAGGAAAGTTCTTACTCTGTGTTTAACCTACTCTCCAGCAGTTAGAAACTATAGCTTATTTATAGCAAAATGGCATATGTAAAATGAAGTAGTAAGTGATTTTCTGGCAAGGGGTTGGGCCATGAGTTCCATGTCCTACCAAACCTGTTGGTTCTATTAATATTCTGTCAATGAGGATTTATTCATTTACACACACTCTCCTTCCAAAAGAATTTAAGGCACCTTACTAAAAGGCAAATACAATAAAGGTCATATTCCAGAAATAAAAATAAGCGGAAATGATCTTAGACAAGAAGAATGCCTATACTCACACACAAAAAAGGGAATTGTTACTATGGTGTAAATGGCTTAGGAATTTCAGCTTGTGAATGACAAAGATGAAGAGGAAAAGACAAGTTGTAGAGGGATTCTCATTGTTCAAGAGGAAGAATCACGTCAGACCCTTAAGAAAAATGAGATCTTTTTTTACTTTACCAAACTATAAGAAAAAATCTTTTTTTTTAAGGACATTGTAAATATAGAATTACCAAGGGTAAGTCATGCTGGAGAGTAACGTGGATACTTCAGAAAGTGCCTTTTTCTTTTGCAGCTACTAAGTCATCGTTAAAAAAAAAGTGGCCTTCTAAAACACTAAATAATAATTCCATTGGATAGGGGATATTTACAGCGAGCAGTTGGATCTGGTCCATTGATTGATGAACCTAGATGTTGGTGATGATGTTAGTTCATAAAAATCTACAGTAAAAGTATTCTAGGCATTTCTTTTTACCTAGTATTTAACCTTTCAGAATATAGGCTAAATATGATTCTTAAACTATTTATTTAACTTTGTATTTTAAATGTGCGTAATATGACCTACATCTCATTTTCTATTTGACATATACACATTTTTTGTTTGTATGCCTTCTCGCCATTCTGTTTAATTCAAGGAAGTCTTGTTTCTTTGAAATAGAAGTGACTTACCTAGGACAGTAAGCTACTTCAGAGTAAGAAAGATCTTTGTGTAAAAGCTTCTTTCCTAAAATAATACAGCACTTCTTGTTGGTCTTATAGAGCCCATTCACTGCATACATTCTGACATGTTCCAGGAATACACATTTATGTGACTGAAGTAAACAGCTTCATGGAAACATAGGGACTTTTGGATACTCACTAAAAAGAAAAATAATTTATTTTGTTCTTTTGGAGGAGTCGTTCTCTGTCTCTGTATACTTTTAGAAAGTATACAGACAAAAAGTTATAGCAAATAATTGTTCTTGAAAATTAAGAGAGAAAAGTGTAGGTATTCTTTAAATCTTACTAAATCATTAATCCACTTAACCCTACACAAAGCCGTGTAGAAAAATATTAAATGCAAATTTAAATTCCTCCCTACTTTCCTCCCTTCCTAGTTCTTTCTATCTTTCGATCTCTTCGAATAACCATATTAAACAAACGAATTATTCTTCTGTGTGGCTCATATCTGCACAATGTGGAAATAGTCATTCTATTGTTTATGCATAAAATCTTACGACTAATAAAAATAGTTTATATTTTGATTTGATGTTAAATGATTTGGATGAGACTTGTACCGTGTAAGTTGCTAAAATCATCTTATTTTTATTTTTATAAAACTTAGTTTCTTGATTATGGAGATTGGAGACCACACCTTATTCCTTATTACTGGATTAAGGATAGTTTTAGGGAGACTAGATTTGTTGAGTTCAAAATGTTAAGGAAGGAAAAGGCTGACATGGTTTTATGCTTCTGCTATGGGAAGATGGACTACTTATAATCGTTTAAATACACACAAGATTTAGTTGAATGCAATAGATTGATTTCAGTCAAGAAACAGCTCAATTAAGTATATTTGGTTCCTGTTCTACACCTTTCCCATCATTTTTTAAGATTGTCCACATGGAGAATTTTCTTTTTCTTCTATCATCTTTAAGCATGGGGGGTATAATTTTCAAATGATTTGTTACACAATTGTGTTAAAGGATATCAGTCTAGAGAATCAAATGTTAATAAAATACTCTTTCTCTAATCACATTCACATTATATCAATTAATATATCAAATGTTATTTAATATTTTTGTTTTATTTTTAATACTATTGATCTGAAGAACACTATACAAAGACATCACAAAGTCAGCAAATTGAGAGCAAATAATACCATATTTTCCTGAAAGTATGAAAATCAATCATGAAAAATAACATACATAGATTTTTTCTTAAAAGTATGGAAATCAATAATAAAATAACGTCCATATATATAACTTACTCATGTTTCTTTAATCTCTTTGTAAAATGCCCCAAGTTAAATTGTTAGATTCTAGGTCTGTCTTAAATCATCCAACTTTTTAAGTTCAGGTAAATACTTTCTATTTATAAATTCTTTATTGTGCTGATCTCAATATTTAAAATACAAATGAAATTAAATAAGCAGTATCTACCAGTCAGTAACTATTAATTTAATCTATTCGGGTAGGTCTAAAAGAGTTGGACAATAAAAAATTCAGTATACTATAAATATTCTTTTGATTGTCAAAACATTCACATATGTTCATATTTACTGAAGCACAAATGATAATCTAAGGCCTGTATCTGAATTAGAATGAGTATTCATATGCATGTTAAACAACTGATTTTCATAGAACCATTTCCTGTTCTCCTATGTTTGGAAAATTCAGGAAGAGACTTTTAAGATGGTTCATGTTGATAGAGCGTTTCCTCACATGCCTTATTAAAGGTGAATTACAATAGGAGAGCAGCCCTTTTTTGTTATTTTCATGTGCGTTTTGGTCCTAAACAGAATTTTATAAGCTACAAAGCATAAAAATATCTAGTACTCCAAAGAATTAATTTAGAGAACCTAAGCATATTGCACAGAACATAAAGTTGACCTTTACCGTCTACGGCTTTTGGAATGGAGTGGGATGTGGAACACATCATAGATTTAATGTGGCACATCGCTGTCTGCAGAAACTTGGGTGGGCCTGTGACTGCTTGCCCATTGCACCCGGTGATTGAATCTGCTGTCACCAGCATCCTGATAATAATGAACATTCAGCTTAACGACCGTGATTATGATTATCATAATTGATGTGCAAGTGCAGTGTGTGGGGATCATTACAGCTGAGCTGTACAGCAAAGCGACATGCCTCAGTTATGGAGAATTTTACTTTTATGCATTGATTGGGGTAAAATATGCCTTTCTATTTAAACAGACCGGCTTCACATAATTTTAAGAATCTTTCTGTACATGTTGATTGATGATTACGCACTTGCTGAAAAACAACCCCTTACAATTGTTTATTTTGTGTTGTTTCATTTCATTAGTAAATGTAAACAATTAAATAATTAGGTGTAATGGAGGGAAAATATTTTGCTTACGAGGATGGCCTTAGATAATCAAATATTCGGTTTAAGGGCATTTTTTTCTCTCTTTTCCACAATACACCAGGCATTGAAATGCTTCCATTTCCTCCCTGTGATTACCCTTGTATCAGTTTTTTGAGGTCAGTAGGCTTCAGGAAAATTATGAGTTTATATAATTTTTATTATAAATCCATAGATGCATTTGTCTATGCATATATTTATATATACTCTAGTTTATTATGCATTTTAGAAAATTGAACAGAGCCAAATATTGTTATATTATTAAAATAATATTTAACATATAGAACAGTTTAAATGTGTAATGTTAAGATGTATAAATTTACACTACCTTTGCTTTTTAATTGGATAGATCTATTATATTGTTTCTGATAAATTTATTATATTGTGAGTAATTTTCAATTATAGTTTTAAAAATGGCTTCAAAAGAGTTTCTGATTTGAATTTTAACTTGTGAATGAAAATAATAAATGCAGTGGTGTATCTAAGATTTTCAGTAGATTAGATCTGACCATATTAATCTGATTATTAACCTAAAGGCACAATTTGTCTTTGAGTCTAAAATATTTCATTTGGGTGATGAGCAAACATAATGGGACACATTTTTATAAAGCACAGAAAGCCATTTAAAACAACTTTTATTTTGTAACTGCAATACAGTCTGAGATTGAGCAATCGCTCCATCAGATTATTAATAACTGTACAGCTCTTAAGAGACTCTGGCATACGTTCCCTTCTGAGGTCTGTAAGATTTACATTACCCCAGGTAAGCAGCTTGCCCTAGATGAGCAGCTGCCCACTCTGGTGTAGGACAGAATCTGTTTGACAGTGAGAGGCTTTATAGCTTGCCTATAAAATTTTCCTTCTGAAAGTTTTTAGTCTCAATGTGATTCTTGAACTTTGTGAAGAGTTCCTCTGGAAGTTTGGCTCTAAATATTCAACATATACTGGTCTTCTCTGCCTTATTGCTAATCTACAATAACAAGAGTTAAATTCTTCATCTGACAAAGATCTAGGATTATGTTAGCTGCGCTTCTCTGCAATTTAAACTGTAA